TAACATAAAAGTTTGTTACCCCGTTTTAACTGTGTTGCCGTTGACATATATGGATAAAATTTATACCGTTGGAAAGGTGAAGACGTGCAGAAGAGCACAACGTTATTTTTTCGCATGTACGTTAACGGAAACACAGGTAAAAATGCGTTGGCGTAAATTTAGCGACTACAACAACAAAATACATGTGTTTTTCAAAGTTTTTTTTTGTGACGAATTGTTAATTGTTTACGGTGGATTTGTGTGTGCGATTTTTTTCCACTTTTGGAAAAAAGTGGACTTTGTGTGTTTGGACTTTGTGTGTTTGGACTTTGTGGATTCTGTTACAATCAGATTTTTAAAGCTCATTAAATTTCAAATATTGTTTGTGAATAAAAAAAACGCATTGAAGTGGAAATATCCTTTGATATCAATCGTTTTATTTGCATTGTGTGATAGTTAAATTTTAATTGTGATAAATTTTAATTTTGATAAATTTTAATTGTGATATATTTTAATTGTGAAATGTGGATAGTTAAGGTTAATGAGTTTGAAATTTTTAGATTTATTTCAAGTGTATTGTGTGATAGTTAAATTTTAATTGTGATGAATTTTAATTGTGAATTGTGTGATAGTTAAGGTTAATTAATTGGTTGAATCGACATTAACAACACTTCAATTCGAGAGATATTCATTTTGTACAATGAAAGAACATTATGATAGAGTATGCAATGCACAAAAAGAGATTTGTATGGCAATTATCGTGAATCGTGATACAGATATACGAAGATATAATATTTACGACTATAGATGGTGAACCACCATTTGAGAGAAATATGATATCTTTTTTAAAAACAAATGGTGTAGTTAAGAATGTATTAGTATTAGATTCTGCTTTGGAACCATTGGCATATCCTTTACTATTCCCAAATGGAGATTTTGGTTGGCACGTTAATATATCGCATAACGTGCAACATAATTCTAATGGTAGGCAGATTCGAAATAAAGTTACAATGTTACAATTTGCATGCTTCAGATTTGCAATAAGGGATCAATTTAGCTTTTTGCATAAATCGCAAAAACTATTTTTGCAATACATTGTTGATATGTATGTGAGAATAGAAGTATGTCGACTACATTTTATAAGACAGAATCAAGTAAATTTGAGGGCAGATGTGTATAACAATATTAGTGATTATTTGCAAACGAATCAAGTAGGAGATGGTAGCTTAGGTCGTAAAGTGATTTTGCCTTCATCCTTCACTGGGTCTCCGAGAAACATGTATCAAAATTACTTAGATGCAATGTCAATTGTTCAGTACTTCGGCAAGCCATCGCTTTTTGTTACAATGACTTGCAATAAGAATTGGGCGGAAATTGTATATAATATTGATCCTAATGAATCATCTCATTTCAGGCCTGAAATAGTTGTGCGTGTATTTAAATCGAAGTTAAAAGAACTCATTTCTGACATTTGGAATAAATATATTTTTGGCAAAGTTGAGGCTCTTATATATACAATCGAATTTCAAAAAAGAGGTTTGCCTCATGCTCACATTTTGATAACTTTATGTGAAAATCACAAAATTGTCGGGTCGGCTGATATTGATAAAATAGTTTGTGCAGAGATACCGGATAAAAATTTGCAGCCAAAATTACATGAATTTGTTGTCAAACACATGATGCACGGTCCTTGCGGTGTTTTGAATCCAAGCTCTGTATGTATGCAAGATGGAAAATATTCAAAACAATTTCCAAAGGATTTTGTGCAATTAACGAAAGAATCAGTTAATGGTTATCCGTTGTATAGACGGCGCGATAATAATGTTTCCGTTGATGTTAGAGGAAAGTCTCTAGATAATCGTTATGTCGTTCCATACAACCCGTATTTGTTTGCAAAATATAATTGTCACATTAATGTCGAGGTGTGCACTTCCGTCAAAAGTATTAAGTACATATATAAATATGTATATAAGGGTTTTGATAGTGCAACTGTTTTAATTCAAAGTGAAAGCACAAACGAAAATGACTAACAAGTACAAGTTGAAGTAGATGACGTTAGAAATTTTTTGAATGGTCGATATGTGGGATCAACTGAGGCTATGTGGCGAATATATGAATTTCCTATGCATTTTCAGTCTCATATTATAATTCGTCTTCACATTCATTTGACACAAAGACAAAATATTATATTTCGCGAAGACCAAGAAAGACAAGCAGTAGAAAATCCTAAGCTTACGAAGCTATTAGCTTTCTTTCAATTGAATCAAAGTGATTCATCTGCTAATCAATATACGTATATAGAAATTTCATTGCATTATGTTTGGATTGATAGTAGAAAATCTTGGCAAAAAAGACAACGAGGAGGAGATAAAATTATTACTCGGATGTATATGGTGTTTCCCAAAGAAATTGAGCAATTCCATTTAAGATTACTTTTGTTGCATGTAAAAGGGCCAAAATCATATGAAGATGTGCGTACATTCAATGGAATTGTTTATAGGACATTTATCGAAGCATGTCATGCTAGGGTAATTGCGTCCAATTATAACGAGTGGAGAGTTTCTCTCAATGAAGCTAAGACATTTAACTCAGGAAAACAAATGCGTAATTTGTTTGCGATTAATTGTGCCTTCAATATTCCAGCAAATGCATTAGCGCTTTGGGTGGAATTTAGAGATCATTTAAGCGAAGATTTCGTTAGAGATGGTTGTAGTGTAGATGTTTCTTTTAATAGAGTATTATTGGAAATCGAGGATATTTTGTTAACACATAATGTTACATGTACGTCACTTGGTTTGCCTACACCTACAATAATGCCAGAATTTGCTGATCTCGATATTTTTGATCCTTTCGTAGAAGAATGTTTATTTAATGAGCTTTATGATTGCGCAAATAATGAACAGCGTGATACTATTGATAAAGTTATTCGTGAAGTTCAGTATTACCATACAGGATCAAATGTGTTTTGTTTGACATCCCATGCAGGTTGTGGGAAAACATTCACACAAACGGCTATAATTCGTAAATTAAATTCCCTTAATCTTCGCTGTATTTCGTGTGCATTTAGTGGTATTGCTGCGAGTCAAAGCAATGCATAATAACACAATAGATTGTGAAGTACTCACTGGAGTTGCTCGCGGAAAACGTGTTTTGATTCCACGCATACACTTGACGTATTCAGGGACTGCACTGCCATTTAATTTTCAAAGAACACAGTTTCCACAGTCATCAGCGCATTTGCTATGACAATTAACAAATCCCAAGGACAGACATTTGATAGAGTTGGAATATTGTTGAGGAGACCTGTTTTTTCGCATGGTCAACTTTACGTTGCAGCCAGTTGAGTTAGATCATTTGACGGACTTAAATTTTAAGTCAGTAATGAAGGTGGACAAGGTCATTTGGCTAATGATGAAAGGGTTTTTACAAAAAATATTGTTTACACTGAAGTTTTGAGAACTTCGTGATATAAAATATAGAATTATTATTATGCATTATTATCATTTTAGATTTCATTCAGTTTGAATGTTTTTCAATATTAAATTTTTTTCATTCGTTCATTTGCCAATTTCATTTCTTTGTTTCTTGCCTTCACTGCATACCGCGATTTGATTTCGTGATGGCAGAGTATAGGAATTTGTTTGATAATTAACACGGGAGCGAGATGTTGTGCAAAGTCGCATTGTCGAAATTATGCAATAAATTGACGCAATAAATTGCGTCAGAATTTCGAATTTCTTTAGAAGAAGGTGCTGTTCTACAAAATTGCTGATTCCTATACTGATAACTTTCCGATATCACCTGAAGAACAAATGTACGGAGCAGATGTTAAGATAATTTATTTGTTGAAAAGATTTCAAAATGGAGCATCAGTTCGAAATTTTATCGGTATTTCATTCAAACAATTCATCATATTTCATATTTTATACTAATTATTTTCTTTTTTCGCAGGTGCATATGTGGTCACATATGACGACAAATTTAAATTAAACGATTTGATTGGATTGATAATACAAGGAAGAATTAAGCCAAAACCAGAAACACAACAAATAATTTTGCACGAGATGAAATTATAAATTTTAATTTATTTTTTAAATTGTTTTCTACAACTTTCTTTAGATTTTGTTCATATTTTAATCAAATTCATCAATAAAATTTAAATACTATTAAAATAAATAAATTGTATTTTCTATTGGTCGAATTTCGACCACTGGCGACCCTAGTAATCATAAATATGCTTACTTTGTCCAATTTTCCTTATACAGGATATTTAAAGATACCGTAATATCCCATATATTTTCAATGGTACGCTGTCTCACGTCAAAAGTATCTGCTGATAAACCTGCTTGTGGTACAGCATCATCGCCATAAATGAAATCATTGCCGTTATTATCGAATGCTGAAGGCGATATTGACAATGCAGATAAGCCAGCTGACGATGATGCTGATGAAGAAGCTGAGAAAGTTGATGTGATGCTACTTATCGTATCATTGTCCAAACGTTGGGATTGTTGTTGATGCGGCTGTTGTTGATGTTGTTGTTGTTGTTGTTGCTGATGTTGTTGTTGTTGCTGTTGTAGTTGAGTGTAATAAACATTGTTGTTAAAGCCAAGTATGTTACGCCCACTAACGCCCACACGTTTCGTTGAAGCTAAAGTGCGTTGCTGGTGTAACAAGGCCGAGTCTTCGCTCTCAATTGTTAAAAATATGAAAGAACCTGCAAATGACAAAAGGAAATAGAGATAAATATTGTTGGTTCATTGATTTTCTAAACTCTTTTCATACAGGAGAATTGTACATTTATAAAGGATAAGCTAAGCTTGTCGTTAATATGACAATAAATTTCTAGTTGCATAGTTACAGACCTCTAAGTAGTGATAAGAATTTATAATAACGCAAAAAAAAATGTATGAACACTAGCGGATATTTAAAGTTTGTAACTTGCTTTCGTTCTACTGTATAATATTTATATATTAATATATATATTAATAAAATTTAGTAGAAAGTTTAAAATTCATTCAAGATTTTCAAAAAATTTAGTAATTGGATTAATTAAATAAAACTTTTTTTTGCTGGATTCATTTACCAATATAATCACAACTAATGGTATAATCGCATGGGTCAAAATTCTTTTTCAGTTTTGTGCTGATCTACAGCAGCGCTAGAGGTATTGTTAAACTGCTATATATGATAGTGCAGAAAGCACACATACTCTTTGTCCACCTCCACCTCTATGTGTTAAGTCTCTTGACCACATCTCTTCTCCTTAATTATCAAAATGAAGTTTCCACATTGCGGTGAAAATCTACTTTATTCATTCCTGAAAGGTGGTTTTACTGAGTGGGTTTTAGTGCTCTCCATCTACTGCAAAAAAAAAGATAATGCAGAAAGTAACTCTAACAAGTATAATAAGGATTGATGGAATATAAGAAAAGGCTGCAGTTCTCAAAGAAATATGGATCTTAGAGAATCTATCTGGCAATTGTCTGCTAATTGTCAGGATTAGCAGACGAGGATTAAAATTTACGAGATCTGACTTAAAAAAATATTTTTTGGAGAAATGCAAAGAGGGATAGAGTAGTATAAAAAATGCTGTCTTTTAATGAAGATGAAATTGAATGGAACATTAATGGTTTTAATACCGTAGTTGGTATTGAAGCGCAAGAGTATGGTTTAAAAATTAAATATGTAGACCCCATTTACAAATAAGATGCAAAAATAGTTGATATCAAAAAATTTGCATATTATTATTTCTACAGCGACTACAAATAACGGGTCAAAGCTATATTATCAGATAGTTAAGTTGCTGTATGAGTACTACATTTTTTAAATTTGACTCCAACTTAATATGAGACTACTACCAAAATTGTAACAGTAAGAGTGAACAACAAAGTTAGCTTATAGTGGAAACCTGAAACTGCGCAGACCAAAAAAATGTGTCGACGAAAGAGTTAGTAAGCCAACAATAAGCCTGACGTGTATTACATTATAAGCTGAGACGCATTGAATAAAGTGCTAAGGGATCAAGAAAGACAAACGAACTTTTTTTAAACTTTATGAATCTGTATTGACTTAAAATATTACAATGAAATCATCTGGAATTGTACTTAACTATCAGACAACGAATTTGTAAAGCTAAATCATATCTTAATTTTATGGTCAACTGAAGTGAAAAAGTTTTACTCTATTCTAATGAGAGCGTTCTTGACTAATTTATTTACATTTGATTTACAATATATTATGTTGAGGCTAGTTGAGTCAGTGCACCTGAGCACTTTTACTCTCTATTAACTGCAAGGTTTCTTTATAACCCCTCTCTACGCCTTGACTGGATATATCACATTATATTTTCTATGCATGTAATTTTCAATAGATGGCGTTGGAATATGTATCTATTTTTAGTGTTATAATTATTCTGAATTTTATCTTCAACGATTTCTAAATTTACTTTTTCTGCTCTAATAAAATTTAAGCAAAATAATTTAAGATTAGCATTCCAAAAATAATTAGATCGGATTACTTGTGCTTATGGCTTCAAGTAATAATTTTTCTGTAAACAACGCTTAAGTACAATAACAAATTAAAAGCTGAGAAAAAGGATGTGCACATTTAATTACAATACAATTAATTACAACCGCGCTTTACTGCCGTACACTGGGTTTAATTTAATTTGCAATTAGAAAAATTGTATTCGTAATACCAAAAATGGGACACATAAGCCAAAAGTGTTAAGAGTAATGTGCTAATTGTCTTTTTCATGAGTATTTCACGTTTTCATATGTGAAACGTAATACCCAAATTATCAGGGGACACTAGTGTTTTAATAATATGGTAATCATATTAACGGGTGTTACAACAATTGCAGTTAGACAGTAAGGTAGTAAGGAATCACAATAATTGCATGTGGATTGTATAATATTTCGTCTAATTTTTCAACAAAGTAGCCTCTTTAACTATGTTATAGGATATACATTGTGACCGAAAAGTTTTCGGAAATTCTCATTTAAAATTCGCGCGCTGTATATTTTTCGATATTTTAAGTTTATGTAGTTTGGCAGCACTGTCCTTAATTACTTATGCCAAAATTAGAGCGCGATCTGTCGGACAGTTCGTTTACGGCAGCTGTTGAAACCAGTTCACCTCAGTAGTGCGTTGCGAAAAAAACAATGGAAAAAAATATTGAACAAAGAGTTTGCATCAAATTTTGTTTTTCGAACGAAATTTCGTGTGCAGAATCGTTGCGAATGCTACAAAAGGCTTATGGGGAATCAGTTTTATCGAAAACTCAAGTTTATGAGTGGTACAAAGCCTTTCAGGACTGTCGTACGACCGTCGAAGACATGCCGCGTTCTGGACGACCTTCGACCTCTACCACCGACGAAAACATTGAAAAGGCAAAGGAAATCGTGTTCAAAAATCCTCATGTGAGTGTTAGAGAGATAGCACGAGAGCTAGGCATCGGTCGTGAGATGGCTCGTTTGATTTTGGTGGACAATTTGTGTATGCGACGTGTCAACGCCCGGCTTGTTCCGATTCACCTCAATTTGTTCAACATTATCAACGATTTTAAGGCCAAACATTCAATAAATACCATCGAACAGCCACCGTATTCACCTGATCTTGCACCGTGTGACTTTTTCCTGTTTCCCAACCTCAAATTACCACTCAGAGGAACGCGTTTTGAATCCATAGAAGACGTAAAACAGAATTCGCAGAGGGAACTCAAAGCCATACCGGAAAGCGCCTATAAAAAAATGTTTTGATGAATTGGAGGAAACGTTGCATTTGTGTATCGCTTCTAATGGAGCATATTTTGAAGAGATAAAATTAAATATTGATGAAGATTAAGAATTTTGCGTTTTATTTAAAATTTCCCGAAAACTTTTCGGTCACAATGTAGATATAATATTCAAAATCGTGTTGTTGAAATCTCAGTAACTCTATTAAAAATTTCTAAAAAATTAAGAAACCAAAGTTGGTTTATCTTTCTCTTAGAAGTTTTTTTAAATTTATTTCGTATTTGGAGTAGAGTTATAGAACGTTTTAACGTTTGATAAAAATATATAGAGATTTTGTATAGGATTTGTATTTATTTCGTATTTTCGGTGCAGTTAACTGGCACTTTAACTATTGCTCATGTATGGATTATCTCTATAGGAAGTTTTTTGATGTTTTTAGCATTATTTGTTAGCACTTTTATTTATATACCAATTTATTTTATTTTGTAGTTTATATATTTCTAGTGTTGTATTTTTAGAGCAGTGGAATAGCACTTCAACATTTATTCTCTGCAGAAATTTTTCTTAAGTTTAATCTATGTTTATGCTAACTAATTATAGCATTTTTCTTGTATATTATATTATTTTATTTTATTAATTATATTTTAATTGATGTTAACTAGCTCTTTGATTTCGGTTTATTTTAATCTATATATTTTATTTAATTTAAGCACTGACTACATGTGTAGAAGAAGGGATTTATTTTGTAATTTTTTTTTAATGAATTAAGTCCATGTGCAAATATATTACTTAAGACTATATGGAGACCATACCATGAGTGATGAGTATTGACAAACATGATAAGGTAATAAAAATATTTATTAAGTGATGTTAAAGGATTTTTTCAAACTAGTGAATCGATTTCACAGTTTTTTGTTTCTAAATCACGTGATTTTTGTTGTATCAGTGTAAACGTGTAATGCTTGTAACAGTAAATGGATTTTACACTTCTACACTTCTATTCACACGACGGAATGGATAAATTCTCCCGAATTCTCCTATGTAAAGTACGGTATTTCGTTGGAGGTCAAAACCAAATTTGTATTTTTCGTTGTGTTAGTAGTCTTATATATTTTAGTACAAAAGATTCATTATTTCTTATTATGTTTTTGTAAATTTGAATTATGAGTCACAATATAAATACATACATAACAATCTCATTGAATATAGTGACAATCTAATATATCACAGAATAAAGACAGTACATGCTTATTCGTTTAGTGAATCTCTATATTTATATACATTTACACATCTTTATTGGTAAATAAAGAGATTAAATAAATCTCTATATTTATGTATATACATAAATTTCCAAATATGCATCTTATAAATAAATTAAAGTTATTATTAATTCTGACAAAAAAAAATATATATATATAAAAGATATTTCATTCAAAATTTCGATATACATGCAAAACTGTAATAAAAATATTTATATACAATTTTATTTAAAAATAGTATGGAAATCTTTTATGTTGACAGTTTCTTTCCATCTTTTATATCTTCAAGCAAAAAGTTCTGTTTATTTTTGATTGCTTCATATTATTTTTTATTACTTTTTACTAAAACTAATATTTTTTAAACATTCTATTCTATTCTATTCGTTTTATATTTCTTTTACGGTCAAATAAATGATTCAATTTCCCATAAAATGAAACTATCCTTAAAGCGGTTTTGATCCTTTTTATAATGATGAAGCCATTAAAACAGACCAAGTCGTAAAAAATGAGTTTTTTGTTTACTTGCAAGCGAAATCATTTTAATCATTTATTCATTTTTGTTTTTTATTTATTTTTTTCATTTTTTTTCATTTTTTTTGATTTTGTAAGTTCCCATTTTACTGTGTAAAGCATTTACATATTTTTATCTCTGGAGTGCAAATAATACAGTAAATTACTAAATAAACTGTTACAACGCTTTAATCCCAAAGGAATTACGA